CCGGGAAGCACCGCCCGCATAGGTAGAATTAGGAGCAGTAGCGGAGCACAAAGGCGGAGAATCGCTTTTCACAGTAGATAAACCTAAATGTAAATAAAATAAGACCCCGGACTTTCTCAAATAAGAGACAAAACAATGCTATAAAAGGCAAAAAAAGCTGTACAGGGAGTATTTAAAATGCCGCCAGCTGTGCCTGTAAGTGAGGAACGCGATGGGGGTGTGTGTGTGCATGCGTAAAAATTTCAGAGACAATGGAAGCAAAACTGTCTTTAGGGTAGGGTAGCACTGTGTACAGGGACCCTTTCTCCACTGCACTCACAGACGTATTTACCTTCTTTACAGGTACTGGAAAACATCGTACCAGTCAATATAACCAGTCTCTGGCACAGCTGCCGCTGTATGTAGAACTGAGAAGGGTCAGAAGCACTGATGCCAACAACTTTAATACCAAGTGTCAGCTGAAATAGCTGCAGATCTGAGATCATAAGGAGAAAGCCAAATCAGGAACGAAGTGGGCACTAACATTAGGCTCATGCTGACAAATGACTAACCATTTAGACTCGCCGTTCTGCGTCTTTACCGGGCAGTGCTGTGAAGTACACACAACGTTGTACTGAGCACTGATGATACACTAAGTACCGTAGTTACAATTGACTGTTAGCATATTACTATTACTACAAGTTGGAATTTAATTTTTTTTCTTAAGATAAATGCAAATAAGTTATGAATTTGAAACGAAATGTAAAAATAACACCTGTATTAAAAATAACCCTAACTACCTGTAAGATAAACATAGTGGTTGAATGTTCACAGCAAAAGCCAGTCCTTCTCTTAAATACTCTTACACACATCCCCACATGTCCCAGGGTAAAACAAATTCACATTGTTTTCAAATGATTTGTTAAAGTCCGCTATCTTTATCCTTTGCTGGTCTCCTGGTTAGTCTACACTGTGGTTGCCATGTTTATTTCTAGGTGATGCTTAATACTCCATTTCAGTGGGTAAAGTTATCACAGTTAAGGCGGTACTGCTAGTTCTGATCCAGATCAGTAGTATAGGAAAGTGGAAAAACGAGTTATAAAGACAAGATATTATAATACCATGCTTTCTAAAAGCACGTGCCTTTATGCATCTACATGCATATATGTATAACACATAATCTGTACACTTTGTGATAAAAAGCGACATTGACATTCTTAAACAACTTAGCATACAATAGCTATTCCCATGTATTTAAACTGTGATTTGCAATAGTCATCTTTCTTCCAAGCAACTTTGACAACACAGTGTTGAAGTTATTAACACTGATCAAAAAGTAACTGGAAATACATCTTATTAATGATGTCTTCTAGTTAAATGTCTCCATTTTCCTTTAGAAGAAACCTGGCAATAGATTATTCAAATCTTGAGCTGTATCAAGTAAACACTTGGCACTGATGGAGATGCATTTCGTATACGGGACAGATCAGTTACTGTAGAGATGGACATTCTCTTAACGTGCCCTATGTAGATCTATTTTCAAGAAACCTGTG